GTGGGGATTTTGTTTTGTTTTTTTGCATTTTAGAAAAACGAACATGCGTAATTCACATTTGCTTTCACACATCTAGCTGTAAAACCACAAGCTGACTTTAACACTTATCTTAGAGTTTCACACACATTTTTATAGATAATATAAGGTCAAAGTTTTACAAAGTTGGAATAAACCACATAGGTCCAGTTTCATATAGAAATCATACTTTATGATAATGTCTAATAGAAAATTGAAATCAACCACACATTTACATGCAGTGGAAATAATCTTTCAAAGAAAAATGGCACAAAATGGGTTGTCCATCGGTTAACAAAGATGCAAAACATACTTTTATTTCCAGTGAAAATGTTTCTACTCCTCCCTGGAGTTAATTTGCAAAATAAAAAAAAAAAGGCAAATACATTTCTGTTCACAGATAAATAGTTTGATGTGGTTAGAGGGACGGCTTCTGCTACCGGTGCTGCAGCGTTACAATGTTGCGGTTTAGACAAATGCCTTCCATCAATGAGTGGGGTGAGCTATTTCTCTTTAGAGTTTGCATCTATGCAGTAGGAGTTTGACATACACATATGTTGTATACTTGTGCAACAGAATACAATCCATTGAAGCCAGTTTGAAGCTTATTAATATGCATTTTTAAGAGAAGTTATTGATTTAACACTGGTAATTTTAAAGGCTGTAATTTATGGTGTCATGTTCGACTGCATATTATCCTATAGTTTGTTGCTGTAACTATGCACAAGAAGGTATTATATACAGTAACTAGCTACTTAGTACCTCACAATATAAATACGGACCTAGCCTAAACATAGCCTCAATTACTACATGGTTAAATCAACAATTTCTAAACAAGTTTGTGTACAACAAAAAGTGTTTAAAATTACAAGAGTGGTATGTGTTCAAAGTTTGAATACACGATTACTGAAAACAGTGAAGTATAGTTCTGGGTATAAAGTTATGAGGTAAAAAGAAATTTTGCTGACCATGTGAGAAAACATGTGAAAACACCACCAAGTTTGTATTTATTCTGGGCTAAGCTGTTACTAAATGATGTCATGCCAACCAGCCCTGCACAGCACTTGTAGGATGGGGGGAGGGGTGCGGGTAAAATTATATATTATAGTTTTATATCCTTCAAAATATGTCATGGATCATCGGAGAAACTTTGCTTGTATACTCTCAGGAATATGTTGAATAATTTAAAGTTATGTCAAGCTATATATTAAATTCATCCATCCTTATAGTTGGTAAAAAAAAAACAAACACAAAAATAAAAAAAAACAATTCAGACCTTTTTTTCAGTGAGTGGACTCACAATCTGCAATACCTTCGCCAACAGTTCAGTTCTCATTGCTCAAGCAGGATTTTTCTCTGTTGCAGAAGATGTAGAAGATATTTCATTTAGTAGTACATAACATTTTCTTGTGCTTTCTTCATCATAACGGCCAAAGTGTCATCCACAGTTTCATAGTCATGGTCACTGTCCCCACTTTCATCCTCAGGCACACTCCCTGGTGGAAAGATTATTGTTAATAATACTATATTTCACAATATTCTTATATTCATCCTAACTGTCATTTATCAAATGTGCCGCACACTGAATGTCTTCCTTTCAGAAAACATGCGATTTATGCACCACCAAACATTTATGCACCACCCATCACATACACCACCTATCACAGGTTTTCACTTCACTTTCTGATGCAGCCAATTGAAATGACTAAACACATTTCACTTCTATAGGAAGATTGTCTCCTGAGATACTATTGGGCGATGGGTTGAATCTTATACAGGAACACACTTGGAATTAAGGCGTCATTGTGGATTTTGTTAAATGTCGAAGAGTAATAGTAAGTAAATAAAAGCATGAATATATTAGAAATGATGAAGTCTCCCAAAACCATAGACTTTCTCAATCTGAACATGTTGTTTACGGTCTGTGGTTATTGTGTAAGTTTGCGTCTATGGTTAATGGACGATAAACATGGTGTGATAAACACAGCTAAATTCTTATTATTTGCATTTAATGCAACCTAATGCATTATTAATACATTAGGTAATTTGTATATTTACATATGCATATGCACATACTTTTAATTAAATATACTTACGTATGTGTTTTTTACATATAAATGACACATTACTGAGACAATAAGACATTGATATGTTTTTCATTACTATCCAGTTCATGTTCACTGTTTGGTTTTGTGTATTTGTAGACTACATGGATACAAGTACTGGGTCACCTGCACATTACAGCTACAGGAGCTGCTCAGCCATGAAAACCCATGCCTTGAAGCTCCACGCACACAGTTTTTGTGCTGATGTTAATGCCAAAGGAGGTTTGGAACGCTGCAGTTACTGACGTTACAGATGTTTGGCAACTTTTACGCACTGTGCACCTCGGCACTTGGCAATCCCGCTCTGTAACTTCACGGTCTGCTACTTCATGGCTGAGTTGTTGTGGTTCTAAGATGTTTCCACTTTTCAACTATATGTTACAGCGGATGGTGGACTATCTATCTATTGACGCGAGCTCTTTAGAACAAACCATTCTTTATCAGATGTTTGCAAAGGCAGACTGCATGGCAAGATGCTTGATTTTATACAGCTGCTGAAATGGGACTAAAACCCTCTGAATTCAAAGATGAAAAATGTATTGCCCAGTACTTTTGTGTATATAGTGCAGGTGAAGCTGATTTTTTTAACCCTTCTTCACATTAATTTACTTTAAGTTTAGTTCTGTGCGTTATGGCAGAAAAAATGTTACTCTACTATGTGCTTTTAGTGGTCTTGATGACTCTGTGAATTCTCTGTGGCTCTGTGAACAGTCACGCTCACATTTGTTTTAGAGATGTAGAGGGAAGCCAAAGTCTGCCAGTATTCTCAACTTTTGGGGTCTTTATATAAACCCTATATAAACTCTTTCCCATGGTGAAAATGTCTCAAATTTAGAGGTTGTCCTGCAAACACTGCTTTAATATAAACATAGAATGCTTATTAGTCCATGGCTGCAAAAAAATCTCCAGCAGCTGCACCATAAGTTTTGCAAGAGACAAATCGGTGGCTCTCTTAAAACATTATATCAGACAGAGCCCCACCTGTTTTAGTAGACTCCTTCATTTGTACATAAGTGTTTGGCAGAGCCTTGCCTATGGTTTGGTCAGCCGCTGAGAACTTTCGGGGCACAAGTGGTGGAGGCTCATCTTCATTAGCCTGCACAAAAGAGGAAACTTCTGTTTTATTACATGCATGGCTTATTTACCACAGGAAAAAAGTGGAAGCACCAATTTGTTATTTTTGCTTAGTTCATTTCCTGAAAGTCACATTATGAGAATCTGTATATTAGTTTCACTGTAGTGGGGTTTCAAGAGAAAACTGACGTGACAAGAAAATCTAGACAACCTAAGCTGAGCTGTAGCCTTTATAATAATAGCTTTCGAAAATGTTACACAAGCATGAAAAGAGTCACTCACGGGAGGTGGTGGAGCGGGGGGCCTCTTTTTGTTATTCAAAGTCAAGTCGCTGAACTGTTTGGTTGGGACGCTTTTATCTCCTTGATGTTTGGATTTGTTTGCCTTCTTTGATTTCTTTGTTTTTTTGGGAGGTGCCGAAAATGACATGTTTCGCTTTGGTGGTCGAGGTGGCGGCTCCGCGTCTGAGTTACCAAATTTGCGAAACTCATAAAAGAATGTGTCTGCAACTTCGGTAACTCTTTCCACTTGACACTTGGGGGGTTGATCTTTGGGCCATGGGAGGGGGTCTGTAGTAAAATAGACAGACATTGAGAGCCACTGCGTTGGGATCTCGAAACAGTACTCTGGCTTGTGTACAAAGCTTGCCTGAATGGTGGGTTCCAACATAGCTGCCTCTATTCTGAGACATGAAAACCCATAGAGGGGATCCTTCTCGAGTTCTGTATCACGGCCCACCACTTTAACATCCAGAGGCAAGTTAAACTCCTTCCCCAAGTCACTGAGTTTGTACTTCCTGTTGTCACTGAGTACTTCCACAAAGTGACCCTCCATGTAAAGAGGCATAATAATCTCCTCCTTTTCATCCTCCCTTTTCACCTTATCCTCATCATCATCATCATCATCATCCTCATCGTCCGACTCTTGAAGGCGATAACACAAAAGAGCCTCTACCGACTGCTTCTGTCCTGCTTTGCCTTCACAGGGTAAAACCATCCTATCGCAGCGCACAACCTCAAGCTGTTCCCCCACACTGAGGGCAGGGAGTCCCTCCTCTTCCACTTCCTCACAGTTCCTTGTTACGCTGACCTTCAGACCTGGCGCGTGGATTGAAGCAACGTACAGCTCGTATACTGAATTAAACTCTCTTGGCCGTCTCCGGAAACGTCCACCATATTGCTGAGACACCAGGAAGTACTGCGGTGTTTTCCTGCTTTTCAAAGTGGATAATAAAATCATGGGCGAGGTTCCTTTTTTGTGAAAAATCAGATGCTCATTCTTGCGAAGCTGCGGTAGCCAGCTGCACTTGAACAGGGAGCGCGTCTCTGGGTCTTCGATGATCTCCACCACTCCAGGGAATGATTTATTCGGCTCAGAGTGGACTTCACTCAGAGAAAGGGGTACAATAAAATGCACATCTTTACACAGCTTGGTGACATCGACCACATCCACTTCTAAGCTGGATGGAAACTTCACCACATTCTTCCTCACTGTAGACAAAAGACAGGAAGGCAGTCAAGTATATTAGGTATATTTAACTTTGATATGAGTGCAGTATAGGTGAACTATGCTTTTTTTGTTCTGAATTTAAATTCTTGAGGTTACAAATATAAGCAATCATATAATCATAAGCAATCATAACAGTGCATCATATAGATTAATTGCTTTTAATGATATGCTGATGTTTTTCAAGGTGGCATTAACTTTAACTGTTTTATAGCATGGTATGTACTATATGTCATACTATCATTGGCTTCAAGTGTAAAATTTTAATATGCACAAATATTGTTTATGTAGTGCATAAATGTGCACAGATGTAGAGGAACAATAAAATGTCATGAACCAAGTATTTTCAATTAAGGTGGAAGTTAAAGTGGAAGTTTGAAACTTTGCATTAACATAACACATGGTGGGGTTCACACACAAATAACAAATCCTGATCAACATTATGTTAAATAGTAGTTAAATAGTTAAAAAGTAGGTTATTCTTACAGTTCATGACGGCCTGGACATGGTATACTGGACTGAGCATAAGAAGCCGATCACACTTGGTAGCATTGACAAAGCGAAACCTTCGGCTACGCAGGGACGACGAGGACATGATCTCCCGCAGGGTAAAGCGCTCCTCACTCTCACACTCGTAGAACTCCCCTCGGAAAGAAACGGGGATGCACACTTCAGCTGAGGCTTCTTGTTGTCCTCGAATAAGGCAGCGGACTTGATCCTCTTGATCCTTGTGTTTCTCAACAGAGAGCACAGTCAAAGCTGTCCCAGCTCCCAGTGCTAGATTGCCAATGGTCATCTTGGAGTGGCTGGAGAAAGTGAAGGGAAGAGAGGAGTCGAGGCCTACTGGCCTCATGCTGACCATCTCCTCTACCGTACTGTACGGCATCTCCTCTGGCACGACCCTGAACAAGCCTGAGAAGAAAAGAAAAGTCATTGTAGTTCTACAAAATAGATTTAACCATTCTTACAAGAATTTCTCTAGACCAACCTGTGTGGCTGATTGGCAGCTCAAATGTTTCATTGTTTGCTACGTCTTGACAGGAAACTGATAGGAGCTCAATTTTAGTGACCTTTATTAGATCCCCAGTGGAAAAACACACTTCACTCCCAGAAATTTCATATATAGAACCTGAAATTGAAGGAACAAAAATGATTTAGATTTCTTAACCAGCACATGAACGCATACACTCTAAAGGGAATTGTTTCCAGTTGTGAGCCATGAGCAATACAACAAATGCCCACTGTTCTTTTTATATATAATAACTTCTAATTTAGGGTTAAAAATGTACAAAATGTAAAAGGAATGTACACTAGATTGTAACTTTAAATTTATGAAAGACAGACACAACACAGAGAAGCGCACAGCAATGAAGTAATCTATAATCTCGTAAGTGCTGTCCTTCTGTATACGCCATCTCACTGAGGAAAAGTAATAATAATAATAAAAAACTACCTTGGAAATATACTCCAGAGCAAACTTGCAAAATTTTTGGCAGACAGTTATTGTCCAATGACGCGATGAATTCCTGAAGTGGCAAAGCAGTGGCGCCTGCCATCACTGCTGCCTCTGTGCGTGTGCAACCAAAAATGAAGGCAGGCAGCAAATGACAAGCGCAGCACAAAACGGGGGTGCTTTCTCAGTTAAAAACCACAAAAGTGAATGAGGAAGTTACAGGATCTCTTTGCACAACTTGTGCATTCACATACGGGGACAAAGCAATCTGGCAAAGCCTCATTGCTGTGAAGATGGTGAATAAGTATCCAAAAGGATGTTTTATTAAATTTTGGGGGATTACAGCATAAAGCCTGCTATGAAAAATAAAATAAAACATCCACACTCTAACTTTGAGCTTTTTATATGTCTTAATTTTTTGGGTCTGTGTGGGTGTCTGTGTGTAAGAGTGAAAGAGAGAGAGGGAGAGAAAGGGGGAGAGGACGACAGACTAAAAAAGGAGCAAATCGCAATTGCAATTTTGCAGTGTGAACGTGTTAGATTTCTTTTTTCTTGTTTGATTGTCAGGGTGCTCTACTTAACGGTGTGGCCAGTGTGAACACATTGCATAAGGTTTAAATAAATACATGCACTATGATAACCTTTAAAAATGCAAAAGAGCAACTCTCAGAGCACAGATGCGAGGACACACTGATAGCTTTTCTTCACTAATATTTCAGGCTCTTTGTGATATTCGTTTTAGCCATGTGTCATCTTTCTCTCTCAGCACTTCCTGCTCTTAGTGCTTTTCTAAGTCTATGACACTTCTATCTGCAGCAAGGAGAGGCTAGATATCCTCCCACCTTGACATATCAAGGAAGGCAGGCAGTGGTTTTTAGCGTTTGACTCAACTCACAGTTTCCAAGAACCACAAAAAGCTCTAAAGATCAGTGCTTGACACAGAGTCCGCCCACACCAGCTATTAGTACCGTTGCCCCAAATAGATACCCCGAGAAACCCACAGTCCTAGCTTCATTCAAACCACCAGCTGCTCACGAAACAAAATATCAGTTATTTTATCTGATTTGACCTTTTAGCAGTGTTAACTTAGAAATTTGGGGAATAGGGACCCCTGCTGGTTCTTGTGGTAACTCAAAGTTGGTGTTAGTTTAATCCCCCCCATGGGTTTGAACATTCTTAGAAAATTCACGTGTTATTTTGTATTACCATTTATTTTAAGTAAAAGTCGGAGTAAATGAGAAAACGTAATCTAATATTCTATTCAATGTTTGGCAGTACTACAGGACTACATTTCCCAGTAATCCGAAGTGACGTTTACCCAGCATGCATCTCTGCTTTGAGAAGCTGAGGCAAGATGGCGACTAAAATAAGCAAAGACAGTCCCCCTCCTTTTGATTGTCCATCATGGTGAGAAAATGCACGTGCTAAAGTTGTAGCCGTTAGCTTGTTATGTGATATCAGGTGCAAATGAGCAGATTAGCATTCACTTAATTATCAATGTAACTTTCTACAGAGGAGAATAGCTGGTTTTCACAGTAGCTAATGTTAGCATCTGAGCAGGCTAACGCTGGTGTGTATCTACAAATGGCGTTGCCTCTTTTTTTCTTATTAAGACCCATCGTTTATGTGCAGTTTTAATTCTGATCACGAAAAGAGGAAATAAATCACATGTATACGCAGGATATAATTTAATAAGTTTTTCTGTATGTAAAAGTATCAATCTTGAACACGTTTCTATGAGTGCAGAGGTGAGTGACTCGTTTCTATGAACAAATCCTTAACTGCAGCAAGGGGAGACAATGGAGTATAGCCATTTATTTAGAATAATGATCCACTGTCCACGTATAACATTAACTTAGACAGTTTTAATGTTTAAAAATGTTTTCTCTTAGGGCAGGCAAACCGCCCCCTGGGCTCCACCTGGACGTGATGAAGGGGGACAAACTGATAGAGGTAACTGGAAGTTTGGAGATGTTACACTAGACCAACAATTTCTAGTATTGCATATTTGTGAACTGCAAGAATAATGTTGGTAGTAGGGTTAATTGAATGCACCAGATACGAGCCTGACAGTCTGCTTTGGCTGCAGGGCTTCAAACGGTGCGACAGTAGAATCAGCCCTGAGTTTTAAGCTTTTCAGTGGAAGCAACACTGTGGAGTTATGGCTCAGAGGCACAGAAATGTTATTCAGGCTTCTTCACTGGCTTGTTTTCAAAGCCAAGTCACTAACTCTTGTTTCTCCTTCTAGAAACTGATCATAGATGAAAAGAAGTACTACCTATTTGGGAGGAACCCCGACTGGTGCGACTTCACCATTGACCATCAGTCGTGCTCTCGTGTTCACGCTGCACTAGTCTATCACAAACACTTGAAAAGGGTCTTCCTCATAGACCTCAACAGCAGTAAGACATGATCTTCAGTCATACTTGTACACTCTACGTCACTGTCTGAAAAGCTATGGGCTAAAAAGGAATAAAATTAATCTATTACGTGCAGCCAGTAGTGCTCATAATCGCTCAAATAATTTGTTGAACAATAGACTGCTGGATAGACAAAAATAATCCACAACAATATTCTAATTGTTTTGATAATCAGTTTTTAAAGCAATAATGCTAAGCATCAGGGTCAGATTGTAATTGGAAACCTTATTGTTTATTTAAGGTCCTGTTTTTGTAATAAATGTGTAATTCGGACTATATAAACAGACAGGAGACTGCAAGGTGGTGGTGAGGTGGTAGCTAAGCTGCACTGGATGGTAGTCTGTAGGATGACTTTGGAAATCTAGAAGAAGAGCAGAGTGATGGCAGAGCCAAAGATTCCATGGTGGAAGTTTATGGAGGAAGAATGTTGGCGTGGAATTTAGTTGAGGAGACAGGCTCTGGGTCTTAGGGAAAATTTACCAGATGACTGGGAAAATACAGCTGAAGTGCTCAGGCAAAGCTGTTTGGTGCATCGTCTGGACAGAGCAAAGAGGACAAGGAGACTTTGTCATGGAAAACACAGTACAAGAAAGTATTCAAATATTCAGTAGTCAGGGAGATGAAGGAATTAGACAGGATTACTGGTTGGCTAGGAATACAGCACACTGAGGAGCGAGTGAGATGTAGGTATGGCTGGAGACTAAGGATGGAGCAGATGACATATCGGTTGGCTAGGCAGCGAAAGGGAAAGAGTGGGTGGTGGCTGCTAAGGGGAGCACTCAAAAGAAGTAGTTGTCTTGTGTAGCAGTTATGCATTCTCTCTTTCTCGTTTGTTATAACCAGCTGCAAAAAATAAATAGAAACATGATATGCCAGCTGGCAACTGAGTTTTGGCAAGAAAGTGGCACGCATTGGACCTTTTTAAAAATATTAGCAAAAATGTATTAATGAAAATTATGTTATAGATGATAAAATTAAGAATGGACTAACAATCACATTTATAAGAATAACTGGATATAAAGAAAAATTGCAGTTTGATCACACCAGACATTATGCGCTTAAACGTGTTAATACAGAGGTCATTGTTATATTAGTATTTAACATTGCTGGGTTAGGCAAGTCAGAAAAGTTACCAAATATTGACAAAATGTATTGTTTGACTACCTTAAATTGTTGTTGTTTCATTATTACATCAGGCTTAGCTACACTAATCAGTCCTAACACTGTGCTTGATGTCATCATTTAGCACACGGTACTTTCCTTGGACACATTCGGCTGGAGGCCCACAAGCCTCAGCAGGTTCCCATAGACTCTACAATATCTTTTGGGGCCTCAACACGGACTTACACCATCAGAGAGAAACCTCAAACCCAAGGCAGTGCTGGCACGGGGGACAGCAAGACAGGAGATGATGAGGAGCTGAAAGGACTGCTCGGGCTTCCAGAAGAAGAGACAGAACTGGAGGTACAGTTAGTTTATATTCTGAAAAATGAACTGTAC